ACAAAAATAATAATAATAATTTAACAACAACAATGGATATGATTGGTGGATTTTTTTTTACTATATCGTCTGCTTCAATATGGCGTCTAAACGAGGTAAGTCGTATGAAAAAAAATTTTTTTTTCTTTTTTTTCTTTCATTCTCGTGTTTCATTATTATTATTATTATTTTTTTTTTGTCGTTTACAAGATGGAGGATTGGAAAAATTATTTTCGCGTCACGATTTCATAACTTTTTATAATTTTATTAATATTTTTTTTTCCTCCTAACTTTTCGTCCATTTTTATTTTTTCTTGGTTTTATTCGTTTTAAAATAAAGTTTTCTTTTAATCGCTTGGGTTTTTATCATTTTATAACGAAAAAAATTAAATAATCGGATAATTCAAGATGGCGGCAAATAAATAGAGAAAGAAAAAAAAACACAAAAAAAAATAATTTTTTTATATTTTTTATATTTAAAATCTTATTTATTAAATTTATATGTCGGCCATTTTTTTTTTTAAATTATTATTATTATTATCATCGTTTTGTCAACGTTTACTTTTTTTTTATTTACAATTTTCTTTTTCTTTATTATTATTATCATCATCATTTTTTTTTCTTTTTTAACGTCCGGTTTAAAAACGAAAGAAAAACGAAAAAAAAAAAAAGAAAAATTTGCATCGCGCGAGAGTTTTTTTCTTTTTTTTCACTTTTTCGTCATCATTATTATTATTATTATTATTATAATTATTATCATTATTATTACAACGGTATTCGTATTGAATAAAAAATTTGTTTTTTTTTAAAACTGTTTTAACGATTTTTTTGTTTGTTTTTGGCATCCGATATGTAAAAATCACTACCTGAAATCGTAATTTTTAACGTGATTATTTTCAAAAGAACGGAATAAAAAAATAATAAGAAACGTTAAAATTACGATTTTTTTAAATGACGATGATGATGATGATGATTGAATCGATGTCGATGAATTTTTGCTACCGTGTTGCATCGCTGCCGGTTTTTCCTCTGAAAAATAAACAAAAAAAAGAAAAACAAACGATTAAATCATATCCGTCGGCCATGTTTTTTTCATTTTATATACATTTTATCATCGGTTTGTTTTTGTTTTTCTGATTTGTTCGTAATCAAAATTTTTTATAAAACAATTATACTATTAATCAAAATGTTTTTATAATTGCTACCTACCCCTCCGCCCCCCCCAAAATGTTTTCCGAATGTTATTTAAATGTTTTTAACGAACGGAATTTTCCATCCATTTTTCCTCTGACATTTTGATTTCCTTTTTAAAGATTTTTCGTGATTTTTTAATAACTGAGTTTAGTTATGATAAATCATAGTTCGAGATAGAGTAGAGGGGGGCTGAAGGAGGGATGGGTTACACGAGGGGCAGAAAGGAAAGGAGTGAAAAAAAAAAAAATTAATTTTGAAAAATTTAAAATTTCTTTTCGTCTACACACATAAATATATAATATCTTTTTAAAAAAAAATAAAATCAAGAAAATAAACGACGGGTAAAAAATTACCCCATTTTCCGAATAATAATAATAATAATAATAATAATAATAATAATAATAATAATAATAATAATAATAATAATAATAATAATAATAATAATAATAATAATAATAATAATAATAATAATAACTATTTTGAGGATTTGAAATTTTCAAAATAATAACGTTTCATCCGCCAATTGTGTGGAATCATCAACCTTCGGAATCTTTATTATACGTATTAAAATGAAAATACGTACATAAAATTTTAATGAAAATTAACATTTGAAAACTATTATTATAAAAGAAGAATACCGCGTTATAATATTTGATTATTTTTAAAAACCTCCCTCCTCTACCCTCCCTACCTCCGGGTCCCTCTCTCGGGTTCCTCCCTAGGGTTCATCCGACAATTTCCTGCTACGATCCCGTTTTTATTTTATTGGCATTTTAAAAAAAAAAAAAAAACGTGTAGTTTAATTTAAAATTTTCCCCCCTCCTTCTCCCCCCACTGTCATTTCGTATTTTTAATTTTTCTGTTTCGTCGACAGCAGACAAAATCTGATAAAAAAAAAAAAAAAAGAAAAATAATAATAATAATTTTTATTATTAAAATTAAAATTTATCTTAAAAATTAATTAATTTTTTTTTTTTTTATTGTTAAATATTTAAGGTAAGAATTATAAAGTAAACGTGTGCGTGTGTTTGTGTGTTTAACACAAGAAATTTATATTTACTAGCAGAAGACGATGAGAAAGAGAAGGAGGAGGAAGGGGGGGTAGGAGCAGTAGAAAAAGGAGTAGGTGGGGGGGGAAAGAAACAAAATTTTAATATAAAATTTTTAAATATATGCGTGTATACGCACACGAGCGAGGAAAAAGGGGGGAGGGGTCGGGATGATGATAGTTTTTCATAAACGATAAGACACGAATTCTTTTATCAACATCCAACAACAACCATTTCCCATTGTCCATTATTATACCCATATGTTTTAATGACGTCACTCACCCAACGTGCTATTTAACACGTGCACTATTATGCTTGCAGATTGAGCATTAGACGGTGCACATGTATAATTTCCAGAATCCGGTTTTTGAGCTTTTGATATTAATAAATCGCTCGAATATCTTCCCAAAATAACTTCCACTCCTCTTTCCCGATCGTAATTGATCATTCTTTTTTCGTGATACCTAAAAATAACCAATGATGATAATAATAATGATAATAATTTTATTAATAAATTAAATATTTAAACATGATATTAATTAATAATCGTACGGGGAGAGAAACGGAAAAACAAAAGGGTTTATTCATTCAACACGTTACAAAAAATATTCTCGTTTTCGTACTGGAAAACACCTGAGAGGAAGGGGTGACGGGAAAAATGACAAATCCTTAGGGAAAATCTAGGATTGGGAAAGGGTTGAAAAAGAAAAAAAAAATTTTTTTTTAAAAAGTAAAATTTTACAAAAGCGATTTCGAAGTTAATAAAACATTTAAAATAAATATTATAAAAAAAAGAAAAGTTTTCATAACAAAAAGTATAATTTGACCGTAATACGTATTAAAACTTTTATGAAAAATTATATTCTTCCATTGTGTCTTTTAAAAAGTTTTTCCTTCTCTCTCTCTCTCTCTTTCTCCCATTTTTTTTTTGAATATAATAATAATAAAATATTTAAAAAGTAAATTTTTTATATATATTTTAGGAGTGAGTTATTTAAACTCTTTTGGAAAACTGTAGAAAAATTTTTTAAAACTATTTTTGATTACTATCACGATGGTGATGATGATGATAATGATGATAATAATTATTAAAATTTTATGTTGCGAAAATAACGGGAAAAAAAAACAACTACAACAACACAAAAAAAAACTTTACGTTATAATTTATTTTAAGAAAATTTTTTTTTATTCACTTTCCATGATTTATTAGAGTTTTTAGTCAAAAAAAAAAAAAAAATTACTGGAAGAAAACTCTGGAAGAAAATTCTGGAAAAAAAAGGAAAAAAAAGTTCATGGAAATTTAATATTATTAAATTTTTTTTTTATATAATTTATAAATAAGTAATAAGTCGCATTAAAACCTTTTCTAATTTATTATAATATTAATAATAATAATGATGATAGTAATGGTAGCGATGATGATGATGATTAATATAAATAATAATAATAAAAAAAAGTTTTTTTAGGGTGGGAGGAGGAGGCTACTTACCAAAAAACATAAGTCGGAGGTTCGGTGCTTAATAAAAGCTTACAAGTGAGTTTAAGTGAGCTTCCACTCATAACAAATTTTTCAGGTGCTCCGTGAATTTCAGCTCTTGCTTCTACAAAAAAAAAAAAAGAAAACAAAGGAAAAAATTAATACGAAAAAAGGAAAAAAAAATAAAAAAAAGGAAAGAAAAAAAAATTTTCATCCTCCCTCCCCTCCCCGTTTTTTGTTTTAAAAGAAAAAAAAATTATTTATTAATTTTCGTAAGAAAAAAAAAAATTTTCTTCTTGGTTTTATAAAATCGAATCGTAAAAAAAAGGAAAAAAAAGGAAAAATATTTTTCCTTGATGACTTGAAATGTTTTTCTTTTTTTTTTTCCTTTTTTTTTTTGCGTCGGTGATATTTCACTTGAATAATGATAATAAAGGGATTTTTTTTTCTTTTCTTTTCCATTTACTCCACCCTAGGAATAGGCCATTTCCGTTTTTCTATTGCTTTTCATGTTTTTTTTCTTCTTCTTCTTCGTTTGAGCCTAACTTTCACATTCATTTCCGGTTTTTTTTTTTTTAAAAAAAGTAAATCGTTTAATGTATTGTTTCGTTAGCAACAAAAACAACAAATTTCGCTTCATTTACAAATAAACATTTCTTTTTTTTTCCTTTTTTGTTTCTTTCACTTCCTTATTATTTTTTGTTGTTGTTGTTGTTTGTAAACAAACGGGAACGTAACAAACTTACCGACTAGTTGAAGTTTAACAAACAAACTCGTCGGAGGATGAGTTGATGCTTGACATTCGTATAAACCCGTATCTTTAGTACCCGCGAAACGTATGTGTAAAGCCCAATCCTGGACAAAAAAAAATTTTAATTTTTTCCTAATGATGAGTTTATCATTTTTTTTAAAAGAAATTAAACTGGAAATTGACTGGAAAAATAATAATAATGATAGATGATTACCGACGTCGAAAAAAATTTTTTTTTCGTCGCTTTAAAATCTAGTTTTTAAAAATTAGACGACGATCATCTTTTTTTTTTTTTTTTTTTTTTTTTCTGGAGAAAAAAAAAACTTCGATATCGATATTATCGTTCGATTTTTTTTTTTTTTTCGGGGTAACGTTGTATACATGTTTTTAACAAAAAAAATGAACTTTGACTTAACTGGAGCGTAAAAAAGTCAATATCCGGATTTAATTTATGCAATATAATCTTCTGTCTCTCTCACTCTCTTTCTCTACCTTTTCTATTTTCGAATTGTTTATCTAACTTTTCGTATCGTTCGTATCATCGTAGATTGTTGTTAAAACTTTTTACGAATGTTTTTAATATTTGTATGAATGAATGAATGAATGAATGACTTTTCATTTTGATATAAACATAAAGTTATGAGTAATTTTCTGTTTTTGTTTTGTTTACCTGTGGATGAAGTACGTGAGATGTAAAAAATCGTTCATCGCTGCTGTACGTGGCCAAACCAACTGTCAACAAATGAAAATCTTTTCTTCTTATCCAAGACACCTAGAAAATTATTATTATTATTATTTTTTTTATTTAATTTTACGCGTGGCAGAATAAAAAAACTAACAACCCGTTACCCGGAGGAATCATTCGATTATTTCCCATCGACCTCGTTATTAAATTAATTCTTTTTGACCTTTGAACTTTTACGTCACTTTTTTTTTAAATTTAAATTTCCGGTAAAAAAAAAAAAAATAAAAAAGAAGCCGTCAAATGCGGATGCGAAGTTAAAAAAAAAAAAAAAAAAAATTTTTTTTTCTTTTTCTTCTTCTTCTTTACTCTTTCCCCGTCCCCTCCCATCTCTTTCGTTTTACCTTATTACGGTACTGATTGTTAGGAAATGATAATGATAACTCACGGTTATATCTTCGATTTCGCCAACTTCGCAGTGTAAAATCGGCGTCGTACCCGTTTGAGCGAAAACTTGAGTGCAATTTTCGGATAGAAAAATATCCGCTGGAAGAGTTGTCGATAAACCGCCTGAAAACAAATTGTTTTTACTCGAACTTCCGTTTTGACTTCTTTCTCCTCTTCTTTTCCCTTTAAAAAAAAAAAACAAAAAACAAAATTCGTTATTATTATTATTATTATTATTATTATTATTGCATCGGGATTGTTTATTTCCGGAAATTTTGAAAAACGAAAATATTTTCATTATTGAAATTTTCACAATTTTTTTCAATCGCGGAAATTTTTTTTTTTTTTTTTTTTTACAAAGTCAAAAAAGAAACAAATTACAAAAGTCAAAGGTCAAATTTTGAATTCGACCGTAAAAAACAAGCGGGAAGGGGGGGCCGGAGTGTGGGCGATGAGGGAATTCAAACGTAAAATTCAAAATGAAAAGAAGGGAGGGGGAGGAGTAGAATGAAAATTTTTAACGTTTAATCACTGCCACAACAACAACAACAACAATAAAGTTTATGTTTTTTTTCGGGGGGGGGGGGAGGAAGGGGGAAAGGAGAGGTTTAATTATTTTCATTTCTCTTAATAAAACATCTTAAATCTCTTTTTTTGCTTACGTCATCGAACGAAAATCGAAGAGATTTTCTATGATTTTTAAGCAGCATGGGAAAAAAATGAAATCGAAGGAAAATTTTAACAACAATCCTTGTTGATTGTTTTTGTTGTTGTTAGAAACAAACCGATCGATCGCAACGCACGATTATAATAATAATAATAATACGTTTAACATATAAAAGAAAAGTTTTTAATGTAATTTTCTTTATTCTTTTCTACATTTTAAATAAAGATATAACATTAATTAAGTAAAGGTTTAAGAAAAAAATTTTCAACAAACAAACGACTTGTTTTGAGGTTTAAAATATAAAAATCGAATATCACGTGATGTCACGTGGTGTTGTTGTTTTATGAAAAAACATTTTTTAAATCGAAAAAAAAAATGAGAGAAGAATAAAAAGAGAGAGAGAGAGAAAGAGAAACGTATGAATAATATACGTTAAATGCTATGTAAAAGGACCTTAAACGATTTCGAAAAGAAAACAATAAATTATTATTATTATTATTATCATCGTTGTTATTTTTATTATTATTATCATCATTATCATCATCATCATCATTATTATTGTTTTTGTTTTCTTTAAAAGAAATGAAAAAGCAACAAAAAAAAAAAGAATAATTATCAGAGCAGAAAAAAAGGGGAAAAAAATTAAATTTTTAAGGTTAGAAAAATTATGAAAAAAATTTAATTTTGAATATAAACGTATGAAATGTTAAACTATAAAATTATAGCGCTATAAAAATATTTATACTATAAATAGAAAAGGTTCAAGATTAATTTTTTTTCTCAAAGAATTCTTTTTTTCAGCCATCGGTTCGTGTCATTGTGATTTTTTTTTTTTTTCGCTGCCATTTGTCGACTTATTTCCGTTTCCTGTGTTATTTTATTTAATCCTTCCATTCCTCTACCACCACCGTCATCACACCGAAGCAAACAAAAACATTTTATGTGGAACAACGGAGGGGGAAGGGAGGGGAGAAGAAGGGAAAAAGAAAAGAAAAAAAAAAAATTTCTTGTACGTCGATTCGTCGTCGTCGTGTATTTTCATGTTGTTGTTATGGAATTTTTTTTTTTTTTACGAATAGCGGATAAATAATAATAATAATAATAATAATAATAATAATAATAATAATAATAATAATGATAATAATAATAATAATAATAATAATAATAATAATAATAATAATAATAATAATAATAATAATGGTAAAATTCTCTCTCCAGTTTTTTTTTTTTGTTTCGTACGTAAGAAATTTAAAGAACTTGAGAAAATTTTCCCGAACGATAATAAAAAATGAAGAACTTTAATTAATAAAAAAAAAAAAAAATTTTCCCTTACGTATTCCATGGAAAAGAAATAAAACTGGAAAGATGGGTAATTTAAAAAAAAAAAAAAAAAAAAAAAAAAAAAAAGGAAAAATTCTTTTCGACGATTATTTTCATATCGACTGGAAAGAAAAAAAAATCAGAATAAGTAAAATGTGGAAATTTTCAGAGAAAATGAACAGATAGAGAGTGAGAGAGAGAGAGAGAGAAAAAAAAGAAAATTTTATCTAAAAATTGTCGTCGTCGTCGTTCCAGGTTTGAATTTCATTCAAAATTGTTGCCACCAAAGCAAAAAAAAAAATTTATTTAACTGGAATTTCAGTCAAAAAAAAAAAATCAATCCCTTCGAATATTTTTATATATTGTTTAACGTTTTAATATAAAAAATTCTAGAATATTTCCTTAGTAACACAAAAATTTGATTAACTTTTCTTCCATAGAATAAAAAAAAAAAGATGGAGGACGAATCGTGGGCGTAAAACCTTATTTAAATAAATTTTTAATTATTTTAACTAAAAAATAAAATATTTAAATGTTTATAAATGTCATTTTAATTATTTATAGCGCTATAACTATAATTATATTTGTTATTAACAAATAGAAAAAAAAAGGAAAATTTATCAACGAATTTTATGAAATTTTCCACGTTCGAATTGTAAATCATAAATTTATATTTATTTATTTATTTATTATTATTATTATTATTAAAACCGAAACGTTTTTCTTTTTAAAAAAAACAATAACAAAATCTTTTCGCATTTAAAATATATAAATAATAATAATAATAATTTTATTTATATTTACAAATTAATTATTCTTTTTTTTTTCTTTTTTTCTTTTCTTCTCTTTCTCTCTCTTCACTTAAATCCAATGATAAAAAATTTTCGGATCAATAAAATTAATTGCCCTTTTTTTTTTTAGAATTATTTTTTACTCGTTTTCTTTCTCTCTCACGTTTCTAGAAAACTTCAAAAAAAAAAAAAGGGT